CTTGGGACTCGCCCGAGTCACTAAGACCAACCTGGTTCATTAACAAGTGTAAGTTGTAAAAAAGAGAAAGAGCGACCGTTAACAGGTGTGCTCTGTGAAACTAAGCTGATTGTGGGCTGCTCTATCTGGCTAATTCACAGAGTGAAAAAGGAGGGACATCTGGATGGAGGTCATCAGAAACCAGGCTAGTCTTTCTCGCACCCAGCTTAAACAGAGTTTACTTCAGTTCTGGGTAGGGTAAATCTCGGCAGATTTAGGAAACTCAATTCACCCGTTAGACGGAGAGCTGGGAGCAACATCTCCCTCCTCTCAGAAGAGGAAGTAGAGAGAGAGAAGGGGGGCGGGGGGAGGTGTTGTGCAACAACATTATTGATGACAGAATGAAGATCTGAAGGAACTGAATCATTTCTGCTGCCTGAGGAACCAGTTCATGACTGGAACTGGAACTGGAACTGGTTTGGATCCATCAGGAGGAGGAGAGTCCAGTCTGACCAGAACCATCATCTTTTCTATTCAAACCCTAAAATCTCTAAACTTTTCGCTTCCAGTCCAGAATCTGGAGAGTTTGACGAAAGAAAATCTGGAAATATTTTCTGCCTTTAGAGTTTAAGATCCAGTTCCAGTTATTGAATTGATTAACCTTTATTGGATTATAATGCAGACAGATTAATGTAGTCCTGGATTATAATCTCTGGGTTTACGGAGCCTCTAGGGAACATGGGAAAATATGTTACTGCAGTATCTGTTGGTCGATTACAGTCACAGAAGTTAATTTAAAAATTTAAATATAAACACATTTAAAGAGCCTCAGTGTTTATTCTTAACTCTTTGTTGCAACAATTGATTTATTCACTGCATGTTTATGTCTGTAAGCTGAGATGGAACTGGACATGAAAACGGCCTTTAAAACATTCAGACCAAAACAAAAGAGACTCAATTAAACTAACAGATGATTTATTACACTGTAATAACAACTCAGAAATACTGCTAATAGTTTGGATGTATTTTTATTTCTTTCCTTCTTACGGAAAGTTTCTGTTTACATCACAGGTTTATGGTGCCTTAATTAAAGAAAAATATATAAAACTCCAGATATTCACAATGTGATGCATGGATATATAACACTGCATGGATATGAGCCTTAATATGAGGCTTTCATGAGGTTGCATGTTAAAACCTCATGAAACCTCATAGCAGAAAGTACGATGGGCCCCTAAGAAAGATTTACAGCATCAGTTATGCTGCATGAACTGATCAGTTCATTATTGAGACGGAACAAAAAAATAATAATCCTCCATGTTAGTATTATATGAATAATTCTTTATTATTATGAATCCTGCTTTATTAATGTGATGTCAATACAAATAGAAGCTTCTTTTTATTATTTTAAACATGATCTGAATATAAACATGAAGGCCTATTAAAACTGTTACTTTGCATAAAATGCTGAATTTGAACATAATTAGATTTCTGCTGACTAAATATGTTCACTTCTGACTGAAATATATTTTATGCCTCATTTTATTCATTTGTTACATGTTGCTTCCACATTAATGTGTTTTAAAATAGATAACTTTGAATTTTAAACCTCTGATCTGACTTATTACCAAAAGGTCATGAAATAATTTGGTCACTAATGTAAATATTCAGTATGTAGTGAGACATTAGCTGAGGTTCAGAAATACAGTGTTCATATATGATTGTATATCTATAATCTCTTGTATTTTAATTTCTTGTGAATATTTTTGTGTTACATTTTGCTCGGTGCTTTAAGGTTGAATGAAAATCTGATTTATCATCATTTCCAATCAGCTGATCTCTAATAATAGATTAACTGATTGGTATTGAATGTTAATATTTAAACTAAATTATTTCCATTTGCTGGAATTCATGAATATTCAGTGTTTATATTAATTTGATGGTTTTTTCTGGGGCTGGTTTTCTTTTTGAGATTTTTAGACCAAATAAAACTCCAGATTGTAGTAGATTTTTTTTTCCCTTTTCTTAAAAATGAAGAACAGAAAATATTTTCAAAAGGTTTGTTTTATGTCAATCATCCCTTCAGGGACCTGAATTCAAAGTCCAACTAAATACAAACT